ATTTGCTTGTTTTAGTGTTTCATATATCACACGTATACACAGTGAAATATTTAAAACCAAAATGCAATTGTTATATATGCACCCCAGAATCATAAGGAGAATATTTTAGGTTGTTTTTATATGCACATTTTATACATTTTACATGTATTTATTCCCCAGTTATTCCACATTTGTGCAACATTTTTAGATCTTTATAAGAATTTTAAATTAATTTGTAGGAGTTTGGAGAAATCAGTGCAGGAGACATTGTTTGGGTACAGTCAACAATGTTTGACTTCATGTAGGCTGTAACATCTCAACAACCAACAATCTCTCACCAAACCACATCAGACTTGAGGATCTGACAACAAAGAGGCTGAAGGAAGTGGCAGCAGTGAAGGAGTCAGTCCTCACTTAACACACTTATACCTAACCGGTAGAAACTGACACAGTCTCCCAAGTGTCTCTGTAGTTGGAGAGAAACAGTCTCTTATTCTGCTGGAAAAATAACTGACATCATCTCCCATGTGCCTGCACTTTAGAAACTGGAGGGTCTTTCTCTTGCCTCTTTTCCCTCTCTACTTCCTCCTCCGTGTCATAGTGCGCTCCTGTCGTTCCTCCTGATTTACCAGACATCGTCTTTCCCCTGCTGTCACATTTGGTACAGATGGTTAGGCTCTATGTAGTGGCCTGTCAGTCTCCATTTGGCTGCCTCAATGTGACAGCGGGTCTGATGGCTCGTGAAGGGCCCACGACTTCCCCGGCACACGGACACTGACATTTCTCAAAGGGGGCTCGCATGCGCGCTTCCCACCCAGCCAGAGGAGGGAAATGAAGAAAGCTGGAGTTGACCCAAAGCCTGCCACAGGCTAAGAGAGCCAGGGGTGGAGGGAGGAGGGAGAGAGAGAGAGAAATGAGAGATTAAGCAGTTGGGGTTAGATTTAGAGAAAGTGTAAGAGGAAAAGAAAGGGGGGTGTGAGACAAAGGGATAAATAAGAACGACAGGTAAGGGTCAGAAGACACACATGTCATTGCCTGTGGATGTGATCTTCCAGTTCATGTCAGTAACCCATCCAGCATCCACTGAACCACTGCACACTTAGAGGGAGGGTGCTCCAAATGCCAACCCCCCTACACCCATTAACACCCAGCTGCCTGCATATTGTTGGTGAGGCAGGTGAAGTAAAAAAAAACCCAGACAAAACACACTTTTACCTCCACTGGCCGACTTTAACGCTTATATTTACTGTGTTAGAGGCATGCAGACACACGTGCACTCACTTTTACCTTTCAAACACTCACAGAGGCACACGCACACAGACATGCAGACGTGATCATAGAAATTCACATCTTATAGCTGATCAATGCATACAGAGATACATGTGGTCCAATTCTTACTGTAAGAAAAGCCTTTTCAAAGAAATGTTTTAGTGTGCTATTAATATAATGCACTGCACATTACAAAAACGGATATAGTGAGTGAAAATAGATTGGAAAATTAGGGGACAGTAGTCTGCATTCAAATGCTTAACTACATTTTTCAGAGCAGCAGAAAAGCGGGAATTGCAAGGTCTCTGGTGTGAAAAGATATCTGTAATATAATCTGAGAGATGCCAGGAATATTCTCCACAGCACATAGTTTCAGTTTTTGTTGTAGCTTCTGATTTCCCCAATTAACCTGCATCAACACTGGCCTACAGACAGATAGATAGATAGATAGATAGATAGATAGATAGATAGATAGATAGATAGATAGATAGATACATAGATAGATAGATAGATAGATAGATAGATAGGTTAACATGAAAGTGTTTTTAAAGAAAAGTGTTTTTTTAGAATTGGAAATAGTGTGTTTTGAATTAAATTGGCATGGAATTATAGTGCCTAATAAGATATTAATTTTAATTATTTATATATTATATATATATATATATATATATTATATATATATAGTAATATTAATGAATGTATAACTACATA